ATGATTTTAATATAGAGAGGAAACAAATCTACCTTTGGGGCCCTAGGACCACACTGCTGTGCCCCTCTAGGGGGTGAAGAGACCGAGGGAGACAATGAAGAAAGAAATAAGAAAAAAAGAAATCTCAGTAAAACGCTTAGACTGTGACAGTGGGCCAAAGCAAGCTTTTATGAGAACCACATTTGAGCCCAGGAATGAAAAATAAGAGCAACATACTTTAAAAATTATTTATGATTTTAAGCACATGAAAGGCATATCATGTACCCAGGGAGGGCATAATGGGGAACAGCTGGCTAACATGTGCCTCACCATTTCTGAGGATGTTCATAATTCTGATGTCCAAGAATAACAATAATAACGATGCCACTGCTGATTCTATTACTACTAATAAAAGGCATTGGGGTGCCTTTCCTGACAGGCAACAGAAGAACTTAGGTTGCTGGGCTTAAAGGGGAGCTCCAGTCTGCTTCCTTCTCAGAGGCAGACCAGGGAGCCCTGCCAAGGATCAAAGGCCCTTGGGGTCCAGGAAAGAACCCTGGAAAGGAGATCCAGAAAACCCGATTTCCAGGCCTGATTGTACCTCTGACTCTGGCAATTCCCTGTACCTCTGAACCTTAGTTTTCTCCTCTGCTAGACAGAGATACTGTTACTACCCAGTAACCCTGCCTCATAGGTTCTCAATGGGTTTGGATGAGAAATTGTTGGTGTGCGTACTGGATGTACTGCTAAACATTCTGCATGGGGCAGGTCATTGTCATCCCTGTTCATCCCCTGTATTTGTCACAATCAACCATCAAGCTCAGGACCCACCCTCCAGAGGGTGCCTGGAAGTGCTTGTGCCGTCAATGTGTTTCTTTTCATTAAATGTTTAAAGTCATGGTGTGTTATGCTTGGGGAATACTTTCAAAGCTATTTAGTCCTGTTCCTCTTTTACGATTTGTTAAGTGGGTCTGGAGGAACTCTCAGTCTAAGGCTAATTATCCACCACTACTGAGCAAACCAGTGTTCACCCAGTGCCCCAGGAATTATGGGGTTTTCCCACCTGGCTGTGGAAAGAGGTGCCACTCTCAGTCTTTCCAGATGGTTCTTTCTCTAGTCTGGAATAATTTCCTCACACCTATGCTGCTAAATTCTCAAGGGACACCTTCTGCAAGACCTCTCGGGTTCTCAGGGCCCCATTTCTTTCCCAGGTATTCTATCTTATGAACTCTTATTGCCTTGGTTTTCATAGACTATATTTCTATCTCTGTAACTTGGGGAATCTGGAGGGTTCCACCTGTTTCCCCTTGACTTCTCAAGGGAGGCACTCGGAGCAAGTCCTCATTGGGTCTGTCTCCTGCCTTTCAAGGTTATCTTCTTTCTGTTGTCTGATGTACAGTGTCTTGATAACCATTATGTTATTCATGTTGTCTGGCCATTTGGGTTTTCTTAGGATAACTCTGGTCTCTGCTCCTTTGTCATGGTGGGGAATAGAAGATTCTCATTTTCTCCTTAGAGATGAAGAATCACACAGGGATTGCAGAAAGTTACACAGGGAGTTAGTGTCAGCAGAGACCAGGACACAGCTCATATCAGTAGTATTATTGGCTTCCTACTATGTGCAAGGCCCACAGGGAGATGTCTCTGGTCTCTAGAACTCTATAGTCTGCTGAAGAGAAGGCAAACAAACCAAGAATTAGAGACAGATAAGTGACAAAGCAAAATAGACAATGATAAATTTAAGATGTAGGCATTCCAGGACGCATGGTGGGAAGGGAGTGGACAGGGAATGTTTTCTGGGAAAAGTAATCCTGAACCTTGCTGATGAAGGAGAGGGAGGATTTATTCAGGTGCTAAAAGACCTTGGTAGGTATGGTGCATACAAGGATACAGAGGTAAGAAGTGGGACCTTTGCCCACTGAGCCTCGTACTCATGGCATTGTGTCATGGGGGCATTCTGTCTCCACTCCCAGGAAGATCTCTGAAGCTTGGGAACTCTCTGTTCAACTTAAATAGCTGTGGAGTTTTGACCTGGGACTTTGTATAGGGTCTCATTTGGGGTTGTGGAGTAGAAGTAACTGTGAGGTTTCTGGAGGGACTCCAGTTTTCCTGGGTGTTTTTCCTGAAGGTAAATGATGATTTTACTTGCAGGGATTTGGAGTGTTCCCTATTGAGAAACAGTTAAAATTTATCTCCATCCCACTCCTGTTCTCACTATAAAAACATAGCACAGGAGCCCACTCCTCTTAGCTCATTTTTAGAAGTAGGTACAGCCAGACCCATCACCAAGTTGAGGCCCAGGAACTGCTTGGCAGTTCTCAGATGAGTTTCTGACAGAACCAGGTCTTGCAATAATTGCTGGAATCCAGACCTGTGCCAACTGAGTACAGGCAGCTCTGGGCCGGTGGACTGGACTCTTGGATGTTTTTGTACCTTCTGGAGACAGGAAGGGAATCTTTTATAACTGAAAGACTTGGACTTTATTCCTCAGCTTGATTTATTTCTCCAAGGCCAGTTGTCTTAGAACTATTTGTATTCTAGCCTGGGCTCCTTCAGTGGTACCAACTTCTGTCCAAGCTGACTCCCAGAAATTTACCATTCATTGGCCCATGAGGAGCAGTGTGGAGCATATCCTGTCCTCATGGAAATTATGGCCTGGTGGGGTCTAATCAAATAATCACTCAAATAAATATGAAGTTACAATTGTGTTAACTGTATGGAGAAGAGGAATTTGGGTCCATGAAATACCAGGAAGGCAAGATGTGGTCTTCTTTGGAGGTCAGGAGTAGCACTTCATGAATTGGCCTGGGAAGTTATCTGTGATGCATTAATGAATGAAAAAAAATCAAATTGTTGAACAACATGGGAAGTGTAAGTATAGCTCTTAGTAGAGGAACCCATCTATGTATGTATATACATATGCATATATTTGAAGAGTTGGGATAAAATACACTACGAGCTGTTAATAGAGGTTTCCTTTAGAGAAAAAGGTAAGACCGGGTCAAGAGTGAAAAGAAACTCTTAACGTTTAGTTAATATTCTCCTGTGATTTTGGTTTATCATAACTATGTTAATTTTATAACTGAAAACAAATCAAGATGCTTATAAGAAATAAAGTGACTCTGCCCTACATATTGGATTGAAAGTCTCTCTTTTTCCTCTTCTATCATTATTTATAATAAAATGAACAAGAAAAGTTCCTCTTCTGTTAAACCCAGTTGAGATGCATTGTCCTCAATGAAACACTTTTCAGATTCCTCAGCTGGAGGCGTTGCCTCCTTTTCTGAAGCCCTGAAGCCTTTTGCCTGCCTTTGGCTGCCTTGTAGCAGTCTACCTCATAACTATCTCGTATGAGTCTTTTTGCTTAGCAACTTGAGAACATCATGAGAGAGGAGCAAATAGTCCTTTAAGGCAGAAGATCTGCACACCAGCTCTTGCTCTGCTTGTATATTGCAGCATGACATATTAACCCAAACTTAGTGGCTTAATAGTTAGTAGTTAAAGCTTGGGAGTTAATAGTGAGTTCGTGTTCAGGAACTTGAGCAGAATTGGGCTTAGGATCATTTGGTTCCACATGGGGGAAGCTGGGGTCCCTTGGTGGCTTGGGGTTCAAGAAACTTTGTTCCCATGCGTACTGCTTGGCAGGGCAGCTAGGGCAGCCCGACTCAGTGCTTTTCTCTCTCTGAGCACTCAGGACTTTTCAGGGAAGAAGCTTGTGATCTTACAGGATGGGGCTGACTAATGTCCCTACTGTTTATATTTTTCTGGTCAAGTGACCATAGAGGCCACTTAGATTTGCGGAGAATGGGCACAAATACTCCATCTTTTAAGGTGAATTGCTGTACAGAAAATTTGTGTCCATCATTAATATAGGTATTCAAGAAGTAGACCTTTGTGCCTCAATTACTGCATTTATACACCAGAAAGACTAAGAACTATAATGTAGACAGAAATGGTACATGCAATATCAAAAATCCTATATGAACCAAAAATATGAATGATCATCTTGACACTATCCCTCTGCCTCAGGACAGGTACTCATTAAATATTTAATATTTGGGGGCTACAGCGGGCAAAGTGCCACCATTGCCATTTAATCATGAGGACTTGAGTTCACTCCTCAGTACCCATGTAAAAAGCTGGGTGTGGTGAGGTGCACTTGTAATCTTAGTGCAGAGGAGGCAGAGTCAGGAGGATCACTGGGACTCTGGCCATTCATCCCAGACTAGTTGGCAATCCCCAGGTCCAAGTGAGAGACCCTGTCTCAAAAAATAGGGTGGACAGCTCCTGAGGAATGACACATGAAGTTGACCTATGACTCTACCTGCACACATGTATATGCACCCACACACAGTACACCCATACTCACATGCCTGCACACACACACACGTTTAATACTTTGAAGGTAAACACACTTAAACACAGACATGTCCTCTAAGAAGCACATAAGAAAGTAATGCTGGGTGGCACAGATGCACATGATGTGGCTGGAGAGTCCAAACACTGTATTATGTTGATGTAAGTTAAATCTGAGTTTGCCACCCATTGCAATATGTGTGACCTTTGTTGACCCAACTCACCTATTGGAGCCTTAATTTCTTCATCATACTATGGGAACAATACCTAGGTGGGCTTCTCAGAGTATCAGAGCCAATTTGAGTGAAACACACTATTTCTATACTAAAATTCGATATGCATTTGCCCAGTGGGGGTATGGTGATTTTTCTGTGGTAGGCTTGTAATGTCTCTTAGGATGATGTGACAGTCATATAGAAAGTTGGGAATTTGCTAGATTCTCTGCACTGGCCACCTCCATAGCACACACTTAAGAGGGACTTTGGAAAAGCAATGAGGGAAAAAGACGGACCTTGCCTCTTATTCCTCCCATTGTCTCCTTTGCCCAGAGTGTTTCCCCGAGGGACCTGTGCCCTGTGCAGCTCCAGCTGTGACCTTGTTCTTCTTCAGGTCTTGCAGGTGGGCAGGTAGCATCATTTTTAGACCTGTGGCTTTGTTTTTCATAGATGTACGAGATCAAAGCAGGAGGCAGCATAGCGAAGACGTTCAATGCGATTCTACAGAAGTTGAGCTCACCCCTGCAGCCCAGAGTACCTGAACACAACAACAACAGGATGAAAAACCTCTCCTACCCATTCTCCAGGGAGAAAATGTACCTGTGAGTATGGGAGCCATCAGGACAGGCACATGAGGGGGTGGCAAAGGAAGCCAGTGGGACTCTGTGAGGAAGCCCCTTTGCCTAGTTCATCACACTATGTGATCAACCGGAGGGAAGGTGGAAGAAGGGTCTGGATTTGTGTATTACCTATAATATCTATTCATGATCATCTTGATTCCCCACCCTGGAAGAGTACGTACAAATCTCTTTATGGGAATGGCTATTTGGGAAACAGCTAGAAGGAAAGGCCATGGCAGAGAGGTGGGAGGTGAGAGATGCAGCCATGAGGGATCAGCTCAGTTATAGAAGCTGAGGGGAAAACTTGTCACTGTCAGGGGCAATAAGAACTGAGTGAGTGAAACAGGAAAGGGGCCTGGAGGGCAGAGAGCACAGAAGGAGCAACTGATTTTAGTAGTATTCTGTGTTCACTGGGGAATATCTCCCACCTAGTGTGCCATGCTAGATAATAATTGTTTATATGTGCTCAGCAAGTCCCCAACCCCCTTTGTGAGGTTATGACTATGCTTCAGTTTCAGAGAGGAAACTAAGTTCAAGTTCAGCCCAGGGTCACACAGCTACAAGGGCAGAGCCAGGACTAGCACAGAGGACCCCTTTTCCATGCATGGTCATCACACTATCTTACCTCCTTTCCATTTTTATAGAACCTCTTCTCTTTCCTAACAAGTTTATTTCCCAACAAGTTTATTTCCCGCTTCTGTGTCTTTTTTTTCTTTTTTTGTGACTCACTGAGTTTAGAGTTGTTTACATTGGCACGAATTTGGGGTTATGTGCCAGAGCATGGGCAACGAACCAGTGACTACACCGCTGAAGAAAATAACTCCCCCTCTTTCAGTATTTATTAACTGCCAATGGCTCCTCAGGAAGGGTGAGGTCTCCCAAGCTCCTCCCCAATCCATGTTGAGGGGCCCAATCTTGTATAGGTAACCACAGCTGGTGTGATTTTGTATGTTCAATGAATGACCATGTCATGTCCCGACAATAGCATTTCTTTTCCTCATCTTCCGATTCTCACATTCTTTCTGCACCCTCTTTGCTATTCTCAAAGCCACAGAGGGGGTGGCCTAAATATCCCATTTAGGGCTGAGCCCCCAACAGTCACTTATTCTCAACACACTGACCAGTCATGAGTTTCTGCTCACTCATTGGCTGCTGCCCACTGCAAGAAGAAGCTTCTCTGACCAAGGCTGAGAGCAGCCAAGGTCTATTTAGTAGACACTTTGACAACATGTCCATTTCGCAAAGCAATGGTAGCAGGTTCTCCCCTGGGGCTTAAGACCTCCCCAGTCATGGGCTTTTAGTCAGGTTCATGGTGCTAGGCATGAATTCCCTCTTGAGGAGCAGACATCAAATCCCATCAGAAAGTGATTGGTTGCCCCCATAATAGTCATGCCGCTGTTTTACCATGGGCACATCTTACCTGGGAGGTTGGTATTGTAGTGCTCAGGGTCCATAGCTGGGTGAGCTGATCTTTTTGTCCCCGGCTTCTTCCATGCTTCTGTGTCCTGGATTTTCATCCAAGTGGGTGTTGGCTTCTGATCAGTTACCTCCCACTTATCTCCCTTCATCTCACTTCTGCAGTCCTTTCTAATAACCGCTTTCCTTTCTAGGAAATTCTATTCTTCCCAACCAGAAGTCTGCTCCTCTGACTTTTCAGATCCACAGTCTACACAGTGTCACATGTCACTCTCCACCAGTCACTTGGTAACACGCATGTTTTAGTGACTGATGCTCCTGGGAAGCTGAGAGTAAGGAGCAAGTCAGTCGTTGTTGGTTTTCAGCAAAGGGCCCCAGACAGCGAGGCCACTCCACAGGTGCTGTGGGACTTTTGCTGTTGCAGATAGTTCACAGGTGCCTTTGTTTTTGAGCGAAAGCTTAGTGAATGAGGTTCAGAACCTTGCATAATTAAGTTTGGTATGTATTGATGAGATGACAGTGATAATATGTGACAATATGAAATGTCATTTTGAAAGACAAGTAATTATAAACCCAACACTCCAAATTAGATTTTTTTTTTGTTGCATTTTCACTATCTGTCCAGGCCCTGGCATATTTCTCACAGGCTTTAATTTTGAAAACTTGTCACAGTATCATAATTTTTCTAGCATTTTAACATAATTATATTTTTCTTTTTCAACTTTTTATTTACTTTATGTATATGAATGTTATGCCTGCACATGTGTAAGTACACCCGTGTCCTGGAATGCCTGTAGAAGCCAGAAGAGGGCATCAGATCCCTGGAACTGGAATTAAGGACTGGGGTTAGCTGCCCTGTGGGTGCTAGGATTAGAACCTGGGTCCTCTGCAAGAGTAGCAAGTGCTCTTAACTGCTGAGCCATCTCCCTAGCTCCCATAGTTAATTTTTAGTGACTTAAATTTTCATATCAATTTTGGAATTTGATTAATGTTGTAATGGGTATTTTTATAATTTCCTTCTATTCAATTTTTTTCCTTATAATAAATTCCTACAATGAGTTTTCAGAAACTTGTTGTATGAAAACAAGCATATACACTTTGTATGAGTGTAGTGGGGACCAGAGTGTATATATGACCGTCTTGCCATACTGCTTTCTAAAAGTTTGTTCTGGGTTGTGGGGGGCAGTAGTCTCAGGGAAAGGGCAGGAGAATGAGCTCACCATTTGATTTCTTGATTCTTCTAGGTACAACATCCAGGAAAAGGACACATTCTTTGACAACGCCACCCGTAGTCGCATTGTAAGTAAGGGGTGTACTGACTTAAGAAGGGGGTTTGGGGAAAGGCTGGGTGCCTAGTTGGTAGGGCATTTCCTTGCCCTCCTTGACAGTGTTTATCATTATTTTCTTGGGGTTTCCTAGAGATTGAACGGAGCATCCAAGAGCAGCCCCATCCCAGTAGCAAAAGAAACAGCTAACACATTCCCTCACTAAGATTTGAAAGGGTTGTGACTATGGATTCTCCACAGAAGCTTCTCTTAGAGTCACAGAATCAGGGAATGTCAAGAGATGGTAGAACTTGAAACTACTTAAGATGACCCCCTTGGTTTACAGTTAAGGAAATTGAGGTACCGAGAAGCAATGCATTAGAAAAAAACACATATAGATGATTAGTGTCCGAAACAGACTAGAAGCAGTTCTGATTACTGGGCCACCATGTTCATTACAAATCTTTCTCTCTTTCAACCCCCATGTCAAGGACTCATGCCAGTTTATACAGCAGGAAATGCTAATTAGTCAACTTACCCAAGAGTAAAAATATTAGCCCATTCAACAGAGAGCCAATGTTCTTGACTGAAGCCCCTATTCCTTCCTTCCTTCCTTCCTTCCTTCCTTCCTTCCTTCCTTCCTTCCTTCCAACTTCCTTCCCTCCCTAACTTCCCTCCCTCTCTCCCCCCCTCCCTCCCTCCCTCTCTCTCTCTTTCCCTTCCTTTCTCTCTTCCTTCTCTCTCTTTCCTGTACACCAAGACTTTTAATTGTGTAGGATGTTTGATTCCAATAAAAATCTGTGCCTGGCCGTTGTTCCTGTGGCCCCATCTCCAGCCACACAGTACCCTTATTTACTCTTCCATTTATTCTTACCATTCTAGAGGTTACTCAGCCTATGGGCAGAGGCGGGAAGAGGGCCCAAAGCATGCTAGAACTTGCACTTACATGGGGAGCATGGAAGCCACATTTCCTAGGACAGAGCTTATCTTTCTAGCACTGAAGAAGTGGGAGAGAGAGACTTAGAAGGACTTCCCAGCCAGTTTGATAAGTAAGAAGGGGCAGGGGACCAAAGAAAGTTTCAGAGCGTTTCCAAGACATGGAGACAAATGGCCTGAACTCTTGCTTTCAATACATACAAGAAAATATCACTGGTCCCTGCATGTCACGTTCTAGGAGGGATTAAAAAATGTACATATGATTTCTTTCTCCTTCCTAGGGAAAGGGGGGAGGTAAACTTCCTGTTTTCTTTGATGCTGTTGTTATAAGCCAATAAATTTCACCGTAGCTTGGGTTCCATTGACTGTGTGTGTAGGGGGGCAATTACAGGGTGTGGAGATGAACTGATAATTGCAAAGTGCTTGTAAAATAATACAATGCCATATACATTCTGTTCCTAATTATTATTGCTGTTGAATTACTGCTCTGTATTAGAAGTAGAATTAAACACTTTGGGGCCCCATTCTGCTGGAAGTTATTTATTTACCACTCCCTTTAGGTCTGTGACTGGAATATGGGAATGCGAATAATGGTTGTGGAATATATCTTTCATGCCTTCCTCCTTCTGGAAGCTTCTTTCTCCCTTTACTACTCTTTTCTCAGTCCACACCCCAGTGTGAGAAGGGCGAAAAAGACGCTTGAGTTTTGACCTGAATGCTCTGGACTTTTGACTGATGCCTTACTTGGGTCTGCAACCGTTTTCTGTTCCCAGTTCTGTGTTGGCCCTGTTGTTTGCTCCAAATCAGATGTCCTTGCTTGGCCTTGCTGGGCCCCAACAGGAGGTCATAGGATGACCAACACTGAGCTTACCTATGTCTCAGATTCTCTGCATGTGAAAGACAGAGTCTTGACAAACCCCATGGTGGAAGAGTTCTCTAGACTTGTTAGGTCTGTGGGACCTGAGCTGCCACAGACGTAGAGCCAGCGGCCCACCTAGTGCCCAGTTTTATGCTTTAGGGGAGGAGCTGGGAGGGAACATAGACTATTCTGACCCGGAAGGGTGAGACACTGGAACAGCTTGGAGAAACGAATGTAAGGCCACATTCTTCCAGCACCAAGCACTCTTATGCAGCCTATCTGGGCTTCTCAGGCCCCTGGTCCATGCTATTAGCAGAGGGTAGACCTTCTGAGGTGGACTCAGGCCCCTCTGCATCTGACTGCACACCCTGTGCTTTCTCCTCCAGGCTCTCCTGGTCGGCATGTGTCTGGCTGGTGGAGGAAGCATGCCTTGGCTCCTCAGACCTTGTAGGGGACCACTACCTTCCCTGAGGCTCCCCCACAAGGGAAACAGACCGAGACACTTCCTCCCCAGCCCTCAAGAGGGCTGCGTGCTGTCACTGGCTCGCCTCTGTTTTCCTTCCCTCAGTCACTGCAGCCAATTCATAGCCTTTTACTGATTTATTTTTCAGGGTGGGGCAGAAGGGGGAGCGTGTGTGAGGGGTTAAATTCTTTGCTTCCTCAAAGTACTCAAGCTTGAATGGGTTTGACAAGCAGGCCATGAGCTCGGCACATGCTTGGCGTCCCAACCCTCCCTCCAAATGGGCCCCCACCAGCCCGCCCCACAGGCGGCGGTGACGCACGTGGTCGAGGCGTTCACAGTCCTGCTGTCGTTCCCTTTTAGGTGCACGAGATTCTGAAGCGTACAGCCTGTTCTCGAGCCAACAACACCATGGGTAAGGAGCCCTCCCGCGCTGTGGGCCAGGCCATGAGTGAGGAGCCAGGCGGCCCTTTCAACAGCTTCTTTGGTGGGCAGAGGGGAGGATCCCAGACCCGCACCCCACCCCCCACAGGATGAGCAGCCTGTCTGGGCCCTGGATCAGGAGTACCCCATTACTTGGCTTGGCTGGGATGCTTCCAGGTTGTTGAAACTCCTCCCAGACCTCCATCTCAGGATCGTTGGAGGGTTTTCTCCCCTTTCCCTGTACCGTGTGCATCCGTCACTTTATCCATAGTTCAATTGTGCTTCTCTCCATAGTCTCCAACAGTTTGTAGCAATCATGGCCAGTTTTTACTTGTTTAATTTTAGGAAGAAAAGCATCTCAGAGGTCGTAAGTGAGGCTTACCCATTCATTGACTCTAGGCATGAAGAAACAACTCCCCCTACCCCATCCAGATATGGTGAATGAGTCATCAAAGACCACACAGCAAGGGACCCTCTAGGGTCCAAAGACGCCTCTTCTAAACCCAGTATTCTCTTCACCTTAACTGGTGGAATCCATTCACCTTGTGGTTTGTTTTTCAAATATGAGTATTTCCATACTTTTGGAGAGAAACCTCAGCGTTCCAACTTACAATCTAAGGCAGCAGTCTGGATGCTATCAGATTATCTGGAGACACACATAGTTGTAGGGTCAAAAATGTAAGCTGTGACCACCAGCGTGGTCACCTGGCTGCTGTATGGGAGAAGGCACCTGAGCCTGTGCACAAGTGTTCTTTGTACAAGTTACCCCAGTGGGTGAGACTGTTCCAAGGAGCTGTCATCTCAAATTCTTTGAGAGTGCTACCTCAGAATAAAATCTGTGATGGCCAATCTTGGGTTTTTGAGGAAATGTTGAGGTGAATAGTGCAGTCACTTGGAGTCAAATTTAGTGAGTGGAGGAAGCTGTCAAGCTGAGGAGTCATCATTGTGATGGTAGTTCGTATCTGAGGTTTTATATAAGACTCATGAGGGGGCTGGAGAGATGGCTCAGCATTTAAGAACACTGCTGTTGCAGAGGATCTGGGTTCGAATCCTAACACCCACATAGTGGCTTACAACTGTTCATAACTCCAGTTCCAGGGGATCTGACACCTTCTGACCTCCACAGGCCTTGCACATGGGTGCACTTGCATACATGCCAGAAATATACTCGTACACACAAAATAAAAATGATAAAATATTTTTTAAAAGATTCATGAACTGCCCTCATACCAAGGGAATCCAGTACTAATGAAGGAATCAGAACAGATTTCCTAGAGTGATAGCTTTCTTGTGAAGGTGCTCTACATCTCCAGGGGGCAATCATGGCTGCTCAAGCTTAACTTGATATTCATCTCATTACGCAATTCCAAATGACACTCTTGTGTCTTCCATGCCACGCTATTTAACTGGAGCATGGTGCTAACAAGGCACTCCTGAGCCAGTGCGAGGTACCTGCCCAGCCCCATTTCATGGGGCAATTGGAGACCTCACTCTGAGTCACTATTTTGTCCCAAGGACAACCAGAGCAGTCAGAAGGTCTGAGACTCTGTGGTGCATTTTCTCAGAGCCTTTATCAGATTTCTTGAATTCATCTTCACTTCTTGACTCAGCCCTCAATTCCAATTATGTGACTTTTTCCCTTTTACATCCTCCCCGGTTTGCAACAGATTGCTTCCTTACGTCTCATTGGTGATGTCTTGTTTCCTGTGTATTTCATGGCATTTTTCTTAGTCTTTGTCCTCACCTCCTGTAACTCCTGAAGCTTCTTTACTGAATGTCTGTCTTCAGATGTGAACCTCTAAGGGCGCTGCTGAGTGCTGAATGCCATTGTCTGTTTCTGCTCATGATCTTTCTTTGATTCCTCTTCTGTACTTTAGGTGTCCTCTCCAATTTCTTTTGACCCATTCTCCCCTCCCATCCCCTTTCCCTTTTCCCTATGGTCTCCTCCTCCTCCTCCTCCTCCTCCTCCTC